GGGAAGAGCAGGGGCACCCTTCCAACACCACTGAACAGGCACTCAATGCTTCTCTGGCCTCCTGCCCCAGCTTGGCAGCAGACTCACCACCTCGTTTATCCCCCACCCCTCCTTCTCTCCCTCCTCACTCACATGTGCAGAGAGCTTGCTGGGTACCCAGTGGTGGGTAAGAGCCAGAACATTCCATTTCCAAAATGACCACTCTGCAGAGCCACAGGATACTGACAAGGGCCCCCAACCCTGTGACATGAGGCTGGGGGCTGAGGCCCTCTTCTGTTCCCAGTTTAATGTGGCTTTCTTTAGTCTCCAGGGAAGAGAGTTGGGTGGATCTTTTGGTTTGATTGCTTTTCATTAAAAGTGACTTTGGTAACAGCTCAGAAAACAGCCCCCAACTCTCCTGTTTTCCTGGGGAACGTAGGGAATTCAGGAGGGCATAAAGGGAGTCTAAGGGGATCCACCAGGCAGGCAGTAGCCCATGGGCGGCAAACCAGGCCAGAGTATTCTCCACCGGCTTAAGGTCACCAGTGTCACCTTGTGGGCCCAACTTCCACGCCCCACACCCATCTCCACTCCGACTCCGCTGCAGGGTCGGGGACAGTGCAGGGAAAAGGACTGCCAGCTGGGCTGGTCATGCGAGTCAGGACATGCGGGTTGGAATCCCACTCTGGGCTTTCATCAGGCTGAGCCTCTGGTTCCTTAAGGGCTCAAATTCTAGAGCCAAATTTGAGTTCCTGCTGAAATCCCAGCTCTGCCACTTTCTTTCCGTGTGATCCTGGGCAAGCCATTCCATTTCTCTGGGATATGGGGATGATAGCTGTGCCTACCTCCCAGAGAACTGACTGGGTTAGTACATGCATGGTCTGGTGTCTGGCACGGCCGGCACTGTGTAAGGAACTGTGCAAGAAAAGGTTATTGGCCATCTCTGTAAAATGGTCACAGTGATGCGTCCCTCCCGTGCTGCCTTCTCCCCAGTTACTGATGAAAATTTAGTGATCACTGGGAAAAGACTCAAATCAATGGGAGAAGAGTTAAAGATAACGGGGCATAAGAGAAGATACAGACAGCCCCCCACACCTGGCAGATGCTCTCTGCCCTGTGCTTAGGGAGGGGAAGAAAGGCACCCTGCTGCTCAGATCCCACTTCTGGCCTTGCCGTGCAGTAATTAGCCTATGCCCATCCAGTCATTAAGCATGTCCCGGGGCTCTGGCCCTGCCCGACACTGTGCTGGGCGCACCAAGAGCAGTCTTGGGGAACTCACTGGCTGGCGGAAGAGGTGCAAATGCAAGTCCACCACACAATCCAGGGTGAGAAGGGACTAACACAGAGGTTTTCTGTGCTAAGAGAAGTCTGGGAAGGCTTTCCAGAGGAGGCAGCATCTGAGCTGAGATCCGAGGTCTCAAAAGTACCCTCCCAGGAGACCAAGTTAGTAGGACGTGAGGGGAGACTGGGAGTCGCTCTGCCAGAAAGCACAGTAAGTACGACAGTTCGAGGAGGAACAAAGGTGGAACACTGAGAGAATGGCGAGCAGTGCCAGAGGGCTGCCACACCGGATGCGCGGGGGTGGGCAAGTAAGGGGTGAAATGAGGAGGGAGAGTGAGCAGAGCAGACCACCAAAACCCTTTTGTACCAAGTAAGAAATGTGAATGTTATACTGAAGACAGCCCCCTGAGAAGGTGAGGAATAATCGCATTTACCTTTCAGAAGCATCCCTCCAGCGGAGGTGGATTGGAGGGGCTGGACATGGGACGGGGGAGCCAGGGAGGAGAGGGCGCACTGCGTCTGAGCTGAGTAGCAGTCTTGTAGATGGGGGGGGGGGGGGGGGTGGATGAGAGATTTCTTGATTTGCCCCTGCCCCTTTTAAAAAGGCTTTTCCTGGAAACATGCTCAGAGGACACCCACTCTACACTCAGCATAACCTCTGCCACTGTGTCCTGAACCCTTCGCCGCTCGCCACATCAAAAGCCCGCTGAGCACTTGGGTTTGTCTGTTTCGTGCCTCTGCATCTAATCTCAGTTCCAAAGTCCCTGTTAAAGTTTCCAGGGAAACGTTCTCTGTGAGGTCACCTTGCAGGACACAGTTGCCACCAGCCCTCCCTCGGTCCTGCACTTGCACTCCCAAGAGTTTATTGACCCTGAGAACCCCAACTTCGCCCTGTCACACGGGCCACACACCCCAAGCCCTGTAACGTCTGTCAGCTCCGTGGCCTTTGAGCCCTGAACTCTGAGAATTAAACAGCACACAGCCATGGAACTCAGCGTGTCCTGAGAAACACACTCAGACCTCTGCGGGAAGAAACACGCACCCCCAGAATAGAATTCCAGACACAAAGAACTAGCGGAAGATGACGGCACTCAACACGACCTACCCCTGGGGAACTGACAGCCCCTGGGGCTTTTGCTGCTTATAACAAACCAGCCCAGGAGTCCTGCAATTTCTTTTTCCGAAAAGAGTTAGGAAATGACCCATGGAGAACAAGAAAGGAGATGCAGTACTTCTGACTTAAAATGGAAACTTCAGCTCTCCTTTGGGATCCCCAGATCATCCTGTCCCCTCTGCTTCCGACCCACCCCAGCACACCATCCATACCTTTCGGAGGTGATTTCCAACATTCTGGATCATCGTGGCTGAGCCCCGCTCGCTGGTCGCAGGGACAGCAGCACTCTCCAAGAGCGGTGAGTCACCTGAGCAACAGCCAGGCCCGCTCCATATGAAGCCTTCTGGCAATCTCCTCCCCTCCTCCTCCCAAGCTCCCGCCCCTGCTGAGCGCAGGTCCCAGCCTCCACTCAGACTGCCCTCTACACCCCTCCTCCTAGAGCCCCCACGCCTGGCCTGCCCGGTGGAGAGGAAGGAAAGAGGCTGCCAGCTGGGGCACAGCCAGGTCAAGGGGCCCTGTCCCCACCCACTGGGCTCCTAGCTGGACACTCACTTTGTTTCCAGCCACAGCCAAACTTAATCACCCCCATTTCCAGCCCCTGGCATCCTCCCCAGGGGGTCTCTTGGCCCTGGGGTCGCTCCCAGGAGCTGGGAGGCTCCAGATCCCCAGCCTCAGCCAACCAGGCAGCAGGTTTCCATCTGTGTACAAGGGATGAGGTCGGAAGGTGGCAGAAGGCCAGGGAGCTGCCAGCAGCGTCCCAGAGAGATACCAGACCCACCTGCTAGGACTCTTCACCCTTGGGAATGTTCCTCCCCTGGCCCACCGCCCCAGGCTGCTGGCATCTATCAGCTGCTGGCGAGGGACAGGGCACACCCCTTACTGCCTCAAAATAAGCAGCAAGACTTTCTAAAAGTGGCACCTGCCAAATCCCACCCCATTGGCTCCATAGGACTCAGCTCCTGGCCACCCATCCTAGGCCCACTGTAGCCATTGCCAACTGAGAGACCACCAGGATTTCCCCTCCTCCCCCTCTCTTCTGCAAGAGGCTTAATGAGGAGGCCTTGACACTCATGCTGGACTGCTTACAACAGGGCAATGAGTACAGTGCTTAATGGTTCAGGGATAAAGGAGGAGGTGACCCAGGCAGGGGAGCTGGATGAAGTGGATCAGGACTAATAAGGAGCACCTTGCAATAACTGAGCACCTGCTGTGTGCCAGGCCTCTCTATGGTCCTCTATCTAAGCCCACTGGCAGGTCCCTTGGGGAAGGCAGGCAATGTGCCCCAGGAAGCATAGCTGTTGAGTGCAGAGCTGTGCTGGAACAGAGGTCAGCCTGACTCTGAGGCCTCTGCCCCTCATTGCCTCTATTTCGCTCACCACGTATCTAAGACTGTCTCCCCGGGGGTCCTAAGACGCCTGGGTTCTAGGCCTGGTTCTCTCACACGACGCACCCCATGACTTTGGGCACACTCCCTCCTCTCCCCGGGCCTCCCTGCTGCAGGAGTCCAGAACTCCAATCTCCATCCCTATGAGCTCAGGCCTTGCCCTCTGTCAGCAGAGTAGTGTCTATAAGTGAGAAATTAAAGTCACACCTTAAACACCACAAGATAGTCTAAGGACGGCGCAGAGGGTTGGGGCATGCCAGGAGGCTTCCTGAAGGAGGCAGAGGTAGAGCTGGTCTGAAGACTGAGTGCATTTGGACAGGCTGAGAGACGGGTGAGGAAGAAGCCTCACAAGAGCTGGACAGGTTGCTGTTATAGGCAGTGAGGGCCTTCCCCCTGCAGAAAAAAACTGGGAGTCTGTCGAGGAAGGCCTCGAATGCCAGGCAACAGGGCTTAGGCATCAGGAAACCTCTGAGAAGGAAGAGCATGCTCAACATGATATAAGCCATGTGAGCTGAACAGGACGGGTGTCGTGAGACTGCCTTGGACCGGTAAGGAAACCTGCCCAAAGAGGGGACAGCTCACATCACTGAACCTCTGGATGCAGCAGGCAGCTGGGACAACCTCAGGGTTCTCACTATGTAGATGAGGGATTGGAAGCCCTTCACAGAGACTCACTGGACTCACTCTAGTCCCCTTATCTCACAGGTGGGTACATTAAAGCCCAGGAATGAAAAGTGAGCCCCAAAGTCACACAGTGAGGAAGTCGTCTAGAGTTACCACCCCTGACCTCAGGTCTACAGCCCTGTCCGCCCCACCCCACAAGGCATAAAAGAGAGGTCTTGCCTGGATCATGTGGCTGAGTGGATTGAGCGAATCGAAAGCCTACGAATCAAAAGGTCACTGGTTCAGTTCCTAGTCAGAGCACACGCCTGGGTCGAGGGCCAGATCCCCATCTGGGGGCATGCAAGAGGCAACCAATTGATGTTCCTTTCACACATCGGTATTTCTCTCCCTCTCTTTCTACATCCTTTCCCTCTCTCTAAAAATAAAATTTTAAAAAATCTTTAAAAAAATACGAGAGGCTTCCGTTAGACTTATGAGAGGGTGTCCAGCCAGGTTCAATCAACAGAGGGCTGGATCTTTCTGCAGAAGCCCCTGCAGCCCACAAAGGGCTCTTTCCACTCTGCTGTTTACCACAGAGCAGGCCCTGCATCCCTTCCACAGCCCTGTTCAGGACGTTACCTCAGTGAATGGGTCCGTGGGTATCTGCCTCCCCGCTTCCAGCCCCCAGGCCAGGGCCCTAAGTGCAGGAAGCATAAAGCACGCGTGCAGGAGTCGGAGTCCTGAAAAGGCAGACGAAGAAGAGGTCTTAGGTGATAGCTAGGTCAGGGGCTCTGAAACCTCAGCCTGTGTCAGAATCACCCAGAAGGCTTGTTAAAATGCAGATTGCTGGGCCCCATCTCCAGTAGAGCTGCAGCAGAGACCAAGAATTTGCATCGCTAACAAGATCCCCAGGGATGCTGATTTTGCTGGTTCAGCAACCATACTTTGAAACCCAGTGAGCTCTGTCAGCCCTCCCTCTTCACAGCTGGGGAGAATGAGGTCCAGAGAGTTTAAAGGCAGCCCTCAACTGTCTATCAATGCCGTCATCAAAATCATCATCATCACTCATTGTCGTTATAGCCCTCCTCACATGCCCAGCACTGTGCCAGCACGTCAGGTTCCTTATCAGCTTTGGGCGGCGCCCAAGCGAAAGGTACTATGATTATTCTCTCACAGAGGAAAAAACGAAGGCAAAGAGTCATTTGTCCAATGTCACATAGTTGGTAAGAGTTAATAGCAGGATTTGAACCCTGTCTAAATCTGGAGCTCACAAGTTCAACTACCACTCTACACAACCTGTTTACAGCTTATGCTGATCAAGGAATTCTCCAGAGGTTCCCAAATCCAGTAGGTTCATCTCTGGTGTGGGATGAGCTTGTGGTGCACTCAGCCCAAAGGCCTGGGCCTCTGGGGTGTCCTACATCTTCAGAAAGCCTGCCTCTTAAGCCCTGTGAGCCAGAGTATTTTCTCCCACACACACTTCTTTTCCCACATTACGTCTTTCATCTGGCCCCACCCATGGGCCTTCCTGGCGGGAGGACAGATGTCTGGGTTCATTCTTCAGGTTCCATATTCCAGCTCCACTTCCCACTCGGTGACAAAACACAGTGCAATAATAATCTCCACCAATATTCCATGGTGACACTGCATTATCATCATCAGCACCGGTCTGTCTCCCCCATCAGGGAGGGCAGGGACCTCATCCGAGTTCTCAGCACAAAGCCTGCCCAGAGCAAGGGTTTAGTGACTAAGTGATAAGAAGGAAGGAAGGAAGGAAAGAAGGAAGGAAGAAAGGCAGGAAGGAAGGAAGGAAGGAAGGAAGGAAGGAAGGAAGGGAAGAAGGGAGGATAGAAGGAAGGGAGTGGTGGTGTGGGGGTGTGGGAGTGTGGGAGTGTGTAGGGGTAAGTGAGGGAATGACCGAGTGAATAAATGACCAAACTCCCAGGAGTCCCCTCTGCGGGGTCTTTGAGTCTCCCCAGGGAGACCACAGACACTCCAGGCGGAAGGGGCCTCTGACATCATCCACTCCAGCCCCACTTCCAGCACTGTTCCAGCTGGACCTGTCCAGGGCCAGCACCTGCAGCTCTTCCCCCGCACACACACTCCTAGGACGCAGACCCCACTTACGTGTCTCCAAGATTGAAGAACTCACTCCACCTAAGGCTGCCTATACAATTAACGAGCTCTAATAGCCAGGAGGGTCTTGCCATCAACCCATAGCTCTGGGTCACCCAGAACAAAACTGCTCCCTTGCTCCACTGGCCTGTAACATGGGCAGCGGTGTGGGAGCACACGTCCTGTCCTTGGCCTGGCCCTGGCCGCCCTGGCCGGACTTACTTCTTCCAATCCTCTCAAGCCACGAACAGAGCTTCCCGCTGGTGCCTCACACACCAGGGAGTTCCTCTGTTCCTGCCATTCCCTCCACTCTGACGCCCTCTAATAACTCTATATCCAAACCTTGCCCCCATCAAGGCCTGGCTCAAATGGCACCTCCTCCAAGAAGTCTTCTGGGCCCCTCCTCAGTGGAAATTACATCCTTCCCCCTCTGTATCCTCAATCCCCACACACAAACATACACACACTTCACAACCCTTTATTTCTCTCTCGTGCTGTTTTCCCTCTTAAATCGGGCTGATTTGTGCTAATTTCTCCTTGACCTTGAGCGACTGGCAACAGGAATGGTGTCGATTCATCAGAGTGTTCTGCCCCCTCCCACTAAGCACTCAGGGCCTTGAGCACAGTAGGTGCTCAGGGTCCAGAGAATGCAGGAATGAGTCATTGAATGGGAACGTGGATGGAAGTAAGTACATGTGTAAATGAATGATAATCAATGAATGAAAGAATGAATGAATGCAAGAAGGTTGTCATCCTCTCCTATTTCCAAGCTAAAGACTCCCAGTTCCAAGACAGAATACAGGAAGCTGTGGGAAAAAGGGGGGAGGACAGGAGGGAGAAACAGAGGAAGGAGGTAGTGACACCACAAGACAGGAAGTAGAGGTGACCTAAACATTGCTTCAAGGCCAGGCCCCCTCAGAACCACACACAGTGCTTTCAGGAGAAGCTGGGCGAGGAGAGCAGTGAGAGACCAGTTCACTGGTCCAGGGGAGAGAAGACAGAGTGGCGGGGATGCAGCAGAGGGAATGCTAACAAGTCTTGGAGGCCAGATGCAGGAGGCTGTCTAGCCAGCCCTAAACTCCATCTTGTCCAGTGGGCTCAAACACCCCTCCCTCCCGCTCTTACCACCTCCTCCTGTGGGGACTGACCCCCCCTTGGACCCAGCTTGACTTCCTCAATCTGGCCCTTACAGAAAAGCTACTTACTCACAACACAGGCTCCTGCTCCCACACACACAACGGTGCCAGGGTGAGTCAGCAGCAGCTTCACACCCTCTGGACTCTGAGTCTTGTGCCCTAGGCCCTCCCCAGGGCCAGCCTTCTCCATCCTGGTGAGCGGCCCGCCCGCCCAGCTCAAATCCCAGAGGCTGCCTGCCCCCGCCTGCCCGAACACAACAGCGCCAGGCTCCACCTGGGCTGTCTGGAGCCAAGTGGGGGTGGAGGCAGATCTGCTAGGGGGCTGTGGACGGAAGAGGATTCTTCAGCAGGAGGATCCCAGGGACAGCGGCCCTTCTGAGGCCGGGAGGTGAGGGAGGGACTGCGGGTGGCTGGGCCCTTACCCAAGTGGTGGGACACTCTAGACCCAACAGGTTGCAGGGACGAAGCCGGGGGAGCCGAATGGGGAAGTCAGAGAAGCGAGTCTGCCGGAAGAGGCTTCAAAATGGGCATCCAGGTCCCAGAGCGGAGTCTAATGGTGGAGGCTGTAGGAGGCTTGAGGGAGGCGCAGGAAGCAGAGGAGCAGAGGCCCAGGCGGGGGCGGCTGGGTGAGTTCCTGGAGAAGCCTGGTCGCCTCTCCTCCCCTCGCTGGAGCCGGGCGGGAGGGGGTGTGGTGGGAGGGCAGGGCGCCGCGGCTGCGGAGCCTGCGGCTCACAAAGGGCCCGGGGGCACCGCGCTGGCTCCAGACACTCCGCCCTGCGAGGCAGGCGGCAATCCCAGGCGCTGGGCAGAGGCAGAATGTGGGCATCGCACCCAGGGGGTCCACGTGGAGCCGGGTAGAAGCTCCAAAGCCGTTCCCTGTTCCTGCTAAACCAGCCCCTCACTGTCTTAAAAAGTAGCACTTGCCATTTGTTCACACTTTTATTGAGCACCTAGTATGAGCCAAACACTGCTGCTGGGTGCTGGGATGAGGTTCTGAGCCCGACACACCGTCCTTGCCTTTCTGTGTACCCACAGGGGGAAAAGTCAGTCTGAAAAGAACAAGGAAAGTGAATACCATCTGTAACCTCTCTCCACGCAGAGAATCACTATTAATCGTTCAAGGTCTCTGTTTCCAGCCAGACTAGAGCTTAAAGATGTAGACAGTCTGACGGGGAGATGGAGGCACCCCTCCCCCTCCCACCATGTGTATACGTTATATGGTATAACATGATATGATATGAAGCATATATGATGCAATCGTAAGCGTGGAGGAGCTGCCTACAAAGATCTCCATCAGTGTTCATGTTTGGGGGACAGGCTCATCTGGCAAACTTAGAAGGAACCAGGGGATGACAGTGGTCCCTGAAAAACAATGCATCTGTGGGGAGTTGAGCAGTGGGAGAGGGGGGCGGGACCAGTCATTCCAGACACCCCCACTAGTGGCAGCGACACAAGCACTCATCCTGCCACAGCATCTCTGGGGAGAAAAGGACGGTCTGAAAGAAGACAGCTGCCGTGCTGAGCCTGGCCACACCTAGGGTCCAGCCAGCCCTCCTGGGGGGACCTCTGGCTATGTAATAAGTTGGGGCACTTCCCCTTGGCACGTTGCCTGGGCCATGCTCTGGGAGCACCCTGAGGCTGAGCTTGTCAGGGCAGGAAGGCTGCGCTGCAGCCTGGGCGGGCTCTGGCTCAGCAGCATTGATGCAGGTACCTCAGCTCAGCAGAGGCCCCAGGTGTCAGCAACCGCAAATGGCATCTGAGATTGCTTCCCAAGTGAATCACATTTAAGGACACCTGAAACATGGAACAGGTGGACTTTTCGGGGACGGGGAGCCCCCACACTGGCAGAATGGATATGGGCTGGCATAAACCATGAATCAATTTTAATGTGACACTATTTGTAATCTCAGCATCATCCTGATATGCCAAGGTTGTGGGTTTGATCCCCAGTCAGGGCCCATATAAGAAACAACTGATGATGCATAAATAAGCCAAACAACAAATCGATGTTTCTCCCTTCCTCTTGCTGTCTAAATAAGTAAATAAATAAATAATTTTAAAACTGACCACATAGGATGTCTTGTCTTGTAATCTGATTTTTTCTCAGTGATTATCATATATATCTTTCCAAGATTTTCTTTTTTTATAAAATGGATATTTACTTTTTACTTTATTTTTTTAAATTTTTATTGTATTTTTCCATTACCATTTAGTCCTCTTATACCCCCTTCCTCTGCCCAAATTTTTATTGCTACACAGTATCTCTCCTTATAATCTACTCGAATTTATTTGATCAATCTGTTTCTTTTTGCTTTTATATATAGCTTTATTGAGATCATTTAAAAATGCACATTTATAATATACAATTTGATGAGTTTTTAATCTATATTTTGGATGATATAGATGTATCCATGAAAACATCACCACAATCAAGGTAATGAACGTACTCTTCACCCTCAAAGTTCCCTCATGGCCCTTTGCAGTCTCTCTCTTCTGCCCCGCACTGCCGCCTCCCCACCCCCTCAGGCAAGCAATAACCGGCCTCTGTCACTCTGGAGTAGTCTGCATTTTCTAGAATTCTGTATAAATGGAATCACACAGTGTGTATTCTTTTTGTCTAGCTTCATTCACTCAGAATAATTATTTTGCAATTCATATATATCATTGCACACATCAATAATTCATTTCTTTGTATTGCTGAGTAGAATGCCATCTTACCAATACACTGCATCTGGTTACTCATTCACTTAGTGATGGACTTTGGGTTGTTTCCAGTTACTGGTGTGATGCAAATAAAACTGGTATGAACATTCATGTTCGACTTAGGAGTGGACATATATTTCACTTCTCTTGGGTAAATAATTAGGAGTAGAAAGGCCAGACCATAAATGTGTGCTTCACTTTTTTTTAACCAGAACATTTACTGCACAACTAATCACGGAAACCCTTAAGATGAACTGGACGCTGCCGAGGCGGCCCTCTTGGGCTCCGGTGTTGCTCCGTCACGAAAGGCATGCCTGCCCTGCAGTAAACAGTTTTTAGGTGCCTCATTTGATCAGTGTTTTACAGTTTTTAAACTGCCCAAAATGTTCCAGAACGGTGTCATCACCTCACACCCCCACCAGCAGCGTGTGAGGATTCCAGCCGCTCCACACCCTCCCCAGCAGCGGGCGTGCTCCGTTGGTCGGGTTCTCGTCACATCACCGGTGGGACCGCTGCGGGTTTGGTTTCCGTCTTCCTGTCCACTGATGTGAGGACTCTTTCTGGGTTCTTTTTAAAGAACCTTTTAGTATACTTATTTGCCATGAGCTGTGTATCTTCTTGGTAAAATATCTATTCAAATCCTTCCCCATTTTTCAAAAATTGGATTATTTGTCTTATTGATTTTTAAGAGTTCTTTATATGTGCAGGAGAATTGAAAGCAGGCTCTCCAAGACATGTTTGTAGGCCCATGTCCGTAACAGCATCACTCACGACAGGCAAAAGGTGGAAGCAGCCCAAATGTCCACCGGTGGATGGATGGATAAACAAAACGCAGCACAACACACAGTGGGATACTGTATAGCCTTAACAAGGAAGGAAATTCTGACACACGCTGCAACGTGTAGGAACCTTGAAGACATTACGCTGAGTAAAACAAGCCAGTCACAAAAAATACAAATACTGTATGACTGCACTATATGAGATACCTAAAATAGTCAAAACCTTTTTTAGGGGGTTTATAACTTCAGCTATTACATTTAGACAATCTATTTTGAGTCAATTTTTATATTTGGTATGAGGTAAAGACAGTTCATATTTTTACATACGGCTACCCAGTTGTTCCAGCACCATTTGTTGAAAAGATTTTCCTTTCCCCATTGAATTGCCTTGGCACCTCTGTCAAGTCGATCAAATATGTGTGTGTGTGTGTGTGTCTATTTTTTGGACTCTTTGCTTTGTTCTACTGATCTATGTATCTGTTTTTAATGCTATATTTTAGGTGCTCTATTTTCCAATGCTGTATTTTCCTGACTACTGTAACATAATACCAAGTCTTGAGATCAAGTAACATAAGTCCTACTTTGCTCTTTTTCTAAATCGTTTTGGTTATTCTGAGTTCTTTGCATTTCCATTTAAATTTTAGAATCAGCTTGTCAATTTCTAAAACCAAAAATAAAGCTCATTTGGATTTTTATTGGGATTCTTTCAAATCTATCAGTTTGAAAGGAATTAACAACAATACAGAGTCTTTTGACCCATAAACACGGTATCTCTCCATGTATTTATTTTCTCTTCAGTTTCTCTCTGCAACATTTTGTAGCCTTTAGCTATAGGTTTGCCATCTTCGGTCAAATTTATTACTAAGTGCCCATATATTTACACTATTATAATTGTACTTAAAATTTTTCAATCAGAATATTGATAGTACATAGAAACACAATTGCTTTTTGTATATTAAGCATGGACCTTGAAACTTACTAAACTCACATAGTTTTAGTAGCATTTTGTAAACTCCTTAGAATCTTCTTCATAGATGATCATAACTGCAAATTAAGATAGCTTTAGCTTTTCATTTCCAACCTATATGGCTTTTTTTTTTGTCTTGTATGCTTGTTCTGACTAGAAACTCCAGCACAATGTGAAGATCCCAACATCCTGTCTTTGCTCTTGATCCAAGGGAGAAGGCACGCATTACTATTTTATTCCTATGCTAACCAAGCTAGAAATACTGTAACTGTACACAGAAGTGACAGGGCATCATGTAGATACACCCCAGAAAACCCACGCTGAAGGCATGTCCAACACAACTGTCCAGTGGTCCCCTCACAAAAGCCCACAGCCGCTCCAACACCACCCAGCGCAAGAGGAAGATTTATGAAGAAGTCAAAGGAGAAAGAGAAAGCAATCTCAACTGATTGTGGTTAAAATAGCTTACTTTTTCAAACTCTACACAGTCATGTGACCGTGTGACCACACTGCATTCTAAGGACTGGTCGAAGTGTCTGCCCGTCTGCACTAGAACATGAACAGTGTGAGGACCCACTCACCTGGACCCCAGCACCTGACCTGCATCACATTAACCGGAAGCAGTGCTCAGTGAACGCTTGTCCAGTGACTTGTGTGCACACGTGGAATGAACCCCGGACAGAATTAAAGAACTTGTGTTTGAATCCCGCACTGCCACTAATAAGTTCTGTGACCTTGAGCATGTCACTTCATGTCCTTGATATTCAGCTTCTTCATTTGTTTGTAAGCCTTTTCTAAAACACAGTTACAGTTTAATGACTTTTTACTTAAGAAATATATGCATATGAAAATTAAATTGTACTGAAAGATTTATACTAAAAAGCAGCTAGACTCTATCCCTCTTCTCCCAAATGCCAGTCCTGCTTCCAAGAGGCAGCACTTTTTAACTCTTTTAGCTACTTCCTCTGGTTGTATCTACATTTTTCTAAAGAATGAGTTCCTATGGCAATGTATTGCTTTATCAGTTTTAAACCTTACCTATAGCTGTACTTCCACGAGAGATGATACATTAACACATACCACCACCATAGCTCTTGTCTCCCCCACCCGACAGTGTTCTCTCAATGTTTTTAACTCCTCCGAGATCACTTCTGTAAAGTTAAGTAACGCACACTTGTCTC